GCTGCCACTGGGTCTGGGAATATTGAGGATGACGTAGTAGGAATAATAATGACCTTTCAGTAATGGAACCAGAGGCAGAGGGAGAGACTAAAAGATATAAATAAGCTCCAGCTGCCTTGAGAGAGAGAGAGATGAAGGGAAAGAAGAGAGAGAGATGAAGGGAAAGAAGAGAGAGAGATGAAGGGAAAGAAGAGAGAGAGATGAAGGGAAAGAAGAGAGAGAGAGGGAGAGAGAAAAGAGGAAGATAGAGAAGAGGAAGGGAGGGAGAAAAGAGACATTATGTAGACAGTGATAATGTTCTTACCTTTTCTAATTGGCCTACATCCACATATAATGGAGCAAGTTTACAATACAAATTGAATTCTTTTTCTCCGTCTCTACATAATGAGAGTATCAAACATGATGGTCATAATGACTCACCCAGTCACAGTGTTTAGTATATGATTATAAGTCTTTATTGCTTCAAACTTTTCATCTTTATCCTCTGGGCTGTACTTATCATACAAATCTGCCAAGCCCTAGAAAAAAAAATTAAAACCACAATAGCTAAATCAAGCTAAAATGTAATTGCATGTCTATTACCAATTTACCATTACAAACCCAGAACCCTCACAGATCTACATAAACTATCTACCTTCCAGGCCAGTATTTCCTTCTCATTAGAGGTTATTGCTATCCTATACTGGTGTCTGGCCTCTCCTATTTCTTTCAACAGTAAATGAGCTTTACCACACAACACATGAGCAAGATAATGAGTGTCATCATGCCAGAATATAGCCTGTGATGGACAAGACAACACATAATTGAGAATAATTTTTTATTCCTACCTGGCATTGTTTGATAGTCTCAGGATAGTCTTCTCTATCTAGAGCAGAACGGGCGGATTTAAGAAGAAACTTGACCTCTTTGTTGGCAGCCATAATTGTAATAATTATTCTACCATGCCACCTTGCGATTGACCAATCAGATTGCAGTATTGGAGGTCAATTATTTTTCATATTAACCTAGCTCGTAAAAATACCGTGGGTCGGGATAGTCTCGAGATCTCGCGTAGCCAGACCACACCCTCCGTGCCTACGGGTGGGTCTGGCAAATTGACCATACTCCGCTCGTTCTGGTTCACCCATTAACGGGTGAACCAATTTTTTTGCTCCACTTCACCCAGAAACGGGTGAATTGATACAGTAACTCTTGACTCTTCTCTTCTACTACCTTCTTCTTAAGTGACAAAAAGCTAGAGGAACAGCTGTGACAAATTATACATCTTCTCCCTCTCACGGCCCGCTTGATCTATGCCGATTAAAGGGCTATCAAAGCTCTCTTTCGAAAGATCACCATATCCATCAAGTGAAAGAAGCCTTTTGCCTT